TATTATTTTTTAAATATATTTTTGTTAAAGGTGTAAAATTATAATACACGTGGAAATTCGAATGAATTTTAATTCGAAAATTCATTATAGGATTTGCATCTCATATATGTAAAATAGTTCAATTTACTCCGCGCTATGAAATTTAAAACTTTCATTGCGAAAAAGATATCTTGGCCGGAAGTCGAATCCGGATCTCCCGCGCATTCCGTGCAGACGCCAATCGCATACGTTATTTATTTATGTATAAAAAAATATGCGTATATAAAGTCATTGTCTTTACGAAGAAAAAAAATAACGTTAACACATCGCGAACGGATCGTCAGAAATCTCGCGTTTTCGATTCTAACACGCTCGCGACCGTTCACGGAGAATTCTCGGATTTAAATATTAAACATTAAAGGAGCAAGAAAATGTCTGCTCTCTGGGTACAGCTCGCAGTAAAACGACTGGTCCGCAATGTGTTAATTTCCTTGATGCGCAGAACTACGCATAAATTAATCACTTGTATCAAAATACAAGAGAGATAGAGCGATTAGACGTTGTCTCGCTTAAGGAACCCGTCGTCAAAGGATATTAGTCAATCGCGCTTCCTACACATAAGCAGGTGGAGATTACTCCAGTCGATGTGTAGTTCATACCGGTTAACGAGCTGACCGCACAGAACACCCACGGTTGATCCACATGCCGACCCCACCGACGGTCTGGACTCTGATCTTGCATTTGCGGCCAATCAGCAACTTTGATGTCAAAGGACGCGGAGCAGAATGGCAAACGCTTTCAAGACGCGGGGGGATTCATTATAATTATCTAAGATCTTCATCATAATTATGCTAGTTTCTGGATCTTCCTTTCGATCGCGCAAATGTTGCCTGCCGATCGACAAAGTTATACACATATAAATCAAATACATTTATGTGTCTGTAATGTGACGTTTAGTTGGAAAATTGCAGGAACGCGTTTGCAAAACTCGATAAAATAAAAATAATAATTACGACAATCAATGAGTTCGTATAATAATTTTAAGTTGTGTGGCCCGCGCAACAATGCGCTTCACCCGGGAAAGAAACGTACGACTTGTCAGCGGAATGCATTTAACTCTGACACGCACATCGCTTTAAACTCATCAGCTTTTACATGGGATTTCAAATGACTCGCAGGAGGTTTCAAACGAAAAACGCAAGTCAGTTGGTCAATCCATTAGAACCATTTCGTTCGGGAGAGAGTTGCTGCGTAATGCTTGCGATTCGACTGACTTGCATTACACATGCATTGCTTCAAGAAGCATATGCCGACTTATGACATTCCTTCTCTTTCCACTCGCTGAAATTCATCGCTCGCTCGTGTGCGAAAAAATGCAAAATCTCATTGTTAATTAATTGAGAAAATAGAAATCTATGTGCTATATCGTTTTATTTTTCAAAAACAGATATAACGTCGCGATAAAGCGCGGCAATTTATTACAAATCGCATAAAAAAACGGCACGCGAAAAGTCACGGATTTGATGCGTGCACGTGACACACAACAAGTCACGATCGTGCGTTCACGTGCGTTTTTTCACAATTTACTTTTTATTTTTTTTTAATAACCGCGAGGTCTCTTCCATCACAACTTCCCCCCCCCTTCCCCATCACTCGGGAGTACACTTTTCGGAAAACACACGTTTTGCCCGCACAGCGGGCCTTTGTTGTCGCGCGTTACAACCGACACTCGGTTTGCACATGGATTCCAAGAGCCGAATGTTGGGGGGGGGGGCCGGTATGTTGTTGCGTTGTGTTTGACGACTGCAGAATCTAAAGCGCGCGCGAGTCGTAACTACGGCGTTCCGTTTAAAATTGCCCGATAATGGCCGCTGTGGTTTCGGATTGACGGGCGGCTCTTTTGTAGCTATGCTCATGCAAACACGCTTTCATCCGTTCTCGCCCGATCCCTGTCATCGGGTTGTCCATCCAGCCCCCGGACGTTTTCGCGTATGTCCGCGCGCGCTCGTCAGTCCCGCAACTTTATAAGCAATAACCGAACGCGCGTGCGACAGGTTTACGGCCCCGCGCGGCCTCGGTCCTTATATATCCCCCCGTTTGCATTACCGGTCCGGGGCTGCCAGGTGCGCGGTCAGAGAGTTTTTTTTATGCACACACGTGTTTTACGAGACACGAGCTCTCCTTATCACGGCCGACAGAAAAATAAAACGTAATTCGCCGCGGCGAGCCGCGCGCCACGTCGTCCGCGTTGCGACTTTTATAGAGACACACACGTAATATGTATATCGGATATACGACCCGACGCAGGTCAGACGTTGTAAACTGCATTTTTCTGGGATTCGCGGTATTTTAGTTCGCGGTGGAAATATATACGCGGAGAGATGATTTATATTCAACGTGTCTTAATACAAACGTTTATCCACACGTGAGGTGTATGTGGTTATGAATCATTTCGGCTTAGCCGAGTCGAATTTTACAACGTACCTACTCTAATCGCATCCGCGTGTTTCTCGAGGTATCGGAAGATTTGTTTTGTTTAGTTTGTGAACAAGTTGAATGAAATAAGACGCGGATATAAATATGTACATACATACGCGAGAGAGCGATGATTCGATCGGCGTCAAAAAAGAAGATGTTCGAAGTGGAACTCTAGAGTGTCATATCCATCGACAAGCAAGCGCATATATATTTCTCATGTGCGCACGTCAAGAAACAAATATAGCATACGTTTATAACCTTTTCTATTTTTATCGGCACGTAACGGAAATAATATTGTCTGTCCTACACCGTACGTCGCACATGTCGCAATTCTCAGGCCAATCCGATTTTATACCTCCAACCGCATAGATATAGCACCTTAGACCCTGTTTTTTCTATTTTTTTTTTTCATTAAAACAGTCGCGATGCAACGTTTTATGCAGACTATGCGCGCTATGTTTAGAGATAGATAAATTTACTCGAGAAGTCAAAGTAAAACTTATTCTAAGCTTGGAAGAGTCGTCAGACTTGTGAGCGGCGTGTGTTATTTGTTTTCCGCAAATAAAAGCCGCGAGAATTCTTGACACCGAACGATAAGTGTGACACGACCCTTCTATCACCTCGCGGCGTCTATAAGCGCGGCGTCAAACTCTTCTTCGCTCTTCTTCGAACTCGCGATAAAAGGAATCCATTCAATTGCCGGAGGTGTTCTGCATTGCCGTGTACGAGGGATCGAGTTAATGTACACGAAGAAGTATAATGTTCAAACACTGCTTATCGCTGTTTTCATAACAGCAGGTTTCCAAACAGATGGCTACTGTTTGCGGACTGATACCGTCCACATTTATCCGACCTCTGTGTCTACACCACAACGCGAAGAGAGAGATTTTCAACTCAATTATAAAAAGGTCGAAAAAATTGCTAAAAAACAAAAAGCCAGTCTTGCGATATTTTACAAAATATAAGTTTGAAATAATTTATCTATGGAACGTATTTTTTGTTCTGCAAACGACACGTGTTGCGGCGCGGACACAAAAATTTCACTGATGTTGCGCTTATAACCTTGTCTCGACCTCAATTTTCATATATAAAAATTGCACATATATGTTTCTGCCTACAAATATACAATCCCTTCGCCCAGACCGCAGTCCGCTGTCTTCGTTCGTGACAGAACTGGGACAGCGTGACGGTACTCGCGCGGGGGAAGAGGAGGGCGGCGCGAGAGCGGGTTGATGCTCTATACACTCGAGTATTCGAAGTAGCCGATAACTCCGCTTACACATCGGGAACAGAGGATTGTCGAGAGAGCGTTGGCGCATCGCGCGCATCGCCACACCGATCGGCTCTCTTTCTCTCTCTTTCTCTCTCTCTCTCTCTCTCTCTCTCTCTCTCTCTCTCTCGCCGCGCTTCGCGGACGAAATCCATTAAAACGTAATCAATGAACGGCCACCGCGTATAACCGCGAATTACGTTCCTACCTTCGGCGCGTAGTTTTCAGAAGCGGAAACTACAGACAAACTAGGTATTCCGGAGCGTCGCGAGGAGATAGAGAGAGAGAAAGAGAGAGAGAGAGAGAGCTTTGGGAGAGCGACCGGGAGGTAGAATAAGTAGGTTAACGAAATGGTCGTTCGCAAGCTTGAGATACCGCCACCAATTTCCAGTGGTCCTCAACGCGATTCGAAGTTCCTTCTAGCTAGCGGCGGGATGCCTCGCGCCAGAATGCGCCACGAAGCGACAACGATTTTCCAGTCGGTTGTTCCTCCTTCTCGTGCCGTCATGCATACATGCGCAAACCCGTATTTTGTACGTAAGCCTCGGAAATAGAAGATGTTCCTCTCCGTTCTTCCTCTTCTCGTTCCGCGTTGCCTGGGCTCTTTCGAGAGACGACCTCTCCGAACTTGAGCCAGCGTAGATTCCGCCTCGAAGAAGCGAAAAGGGAAAAAAGGGAAGGGGGAATTATCGGAAGTCTCGAGAAGGTGCTTGATTAGCGCATACAAGAAAGACATTCCGCGAGCGGACATTCTTCGCGGTCCGTTTTTATCCCGGATCGTTGTCGCGTTTCGCTTCGGCGCTAATTGCATTATTATCGACACTTCCTCGAGATTCCTTCCCCGACGCTCTCTCTCTCTCTCTCTCTTTCTCTCTCTCTCTCTCTCTCTCGCTCTCGCTCTCTTTCTCTCGTCACTCTTGTTCGCGTAATACACGCGAGAGAGTATTTTGCTCGTGACAGAGAATATAATTACAGAAAATATACTATAAATACGTAGAAGAGAATATAATTACAGAAAACATAAATACGTAGAAGAGAATATAATTACAGAAAACATAAATACGTAATGAAGATGGAAATATACACGTTTCGTGCTTTTTATACGCGATTAATATTACATTTGTGTATCGAGCAAGCAGCACATATCATTAATTTATCACGTAAACAGGCTAAGTATATTTACTAATATTACGTGTATGTGTGTGTGTGTGCGCACGGTTCGGGATTATGGATTTATAAGCATTTATATAATTAGGAAAAAAATAACCAATTATTCGTTGTACGTAATCACGTTGATTTATTCGTATATGTACAAAGAGACATCTAACAAGTCTATCTAGTGCGATCTCTTCTTTCGGTACTAATTTGAAGATAAATAATTCAAGACGTACAAGATTGATGTCTCGTAGCTTTCAAGATGTCAATTTTCTTCTTTCGTCCCGACTGTTTGTCCAAAAATCATCATATCGGTCGTGGTGACAGTAGCGGTCCAGGTTTAACGTGCGTGGAGCTCAACGATGAAGTTGATGCCGTGACCTCTTTGGCTCTTGAACTTGATGGTGACATTGCTGTGTCCAGGTCCACCTCTCACGATGCTAGCGTAGGCGCCGTTTCCGTTTGTTTTCTGATCCAACGCTCGCAACAGGGTGATGCGTTCCCACTGCGAGGCATTGAAAGTCTTCTCCACAGTCTGAACCTTCATCCAGGAAGAATTCTTGACGATGTTCTGTCTGAGCACGAGTCTGTCACCGGGCATTCTGTAGCCGACGATCAGATGATGCGACTTGTTGGCGGGGGCAGCGTAACTGTTGTCGGTTCCATTAACAGTCGGAATAGTGCTGACAGCCACCAGAGCGGCGATCACGAAGGCCAGACCGAGCATGTACTTCTGCGACGACATTTTGGTTTACTTCAGAAAATCAGCGCCGATATCACTGTGAGAAAGTTACTCGAAGTCTGTCGGCACAACGCGCCACTGCCGTTTAAATACGCGCAATAATCGCTCTCTTATCGCTCGTCTTATCAAGATTTATTTCATCGATACGCAAGAATCTTGTTCTGGAAAGATTCTACGTTCCACGAAGAAGAACATTTCCGATAGATACATACATGATAGCGTTAATGTGTGAGTCATACTCTTTTTTTATTTTTAAAATTAATGAGTCATACTCTTTAGTTATTTTCAAAATCACATCCGAGCAACAGAATTTTTTTTAATATTTCAATATTTGACGAAAAGTCATTTAACTTATTATCGCAAATTAAATCAATTGCCAGTATTGTGTGTGTGTGTGTGATGGATATTTCAATAGTATATATATCTGATATATGTACATACATATATCTGACATTAATTCAATTAATTAATATTATAATTAATAATTATTTTAAATAGATCTTTAATTAGAAACTTAATGAGTATATATTACAGTTATTTGCGTGACACGCATGTGTGCACATTTCTATTCTGGCGTGTGATTCATCGGATAGATTACGCACAAGTGTTTTCAGTCAATATTTTTTTATCGCTCAATATGTTATGAAACGCTTCGCCAAAGTCATATCTCAATTATCTCTTTCTTCAACAATTAACGCAATTCACAGAAATGAGATTTTGCTCGCGATATTGAGAACTTTACAGATAATTGATATTATTAATGGCAAATTGTCGTCTAAGATATTTGACAAAGATCTTGTAATAGGAGATGAGACAGACTATATATATTGCACACAAGCATTATATTGTAATGCAATAGCCCATTGTGTGTATACCGTGTTTATCACGTGCTCGTATACGTCTGTACATCAACAACAAATTTGATATAGTTTGATAATTAAACGATAATATTCATATATTCAGAAATCACTGTTAAACTTTCGAAGACATATATTTGCGCGGTAATATACTATGTGCGCATACACAACGCGTGTTGTATACTTACATAAGTAAGCGTGTCATTATTTAATATCCAACTTTACATTAACGCGTTTCTAATTTACCTTGTCGTTATTTCGTGTAAGAAACCGATTACCGTTACCGGAAATTAAAATGTGTTCTGATCTTTCGCGACGAATTTTCCCAAAACCGTGAAAGCTTATTCCCAATTGCAAGAGTCACAGCTGCTTTGTCAAGGCTGTTGGAGATTGTTTGCTCAGATGCTTGTTAACCGTGTGAGCATCCAATATGTTACCTCGTGTATGCACTTAGGTCCTGCATCGAGAATAGATTCACTCGGATCATTAAGTCAATTGGCGGATACACGGTGACAGAATATCGACCGTAACAGCCGTGAAATTCTCGCAGACAAGAGCTGCAATGTTGATCATGTGTTCTAAAAACAATCTAACAGCATTAATTGAAATATCACACGCGTATATACATAACATTAAAGCGAGGAAACTTATAGATCGTTTATTGTTGCCGATTTAATTGTATTTTCATTAATAGGATTCGTTTAAATAATATCAAATTTTTTTATTTATATTCTCAAAGAAAGACCTAGTTTCTTTTACGTAGTAAATTTGTTCATCAACAACCCAGTTTTTCTCTGCAATATTATATTATTTCTTGGTGGAATATAATTTTTGATAAAAAATTTGCATGTTTTTTTTTAAAAAACCGACCGTTAATTATTTTCGAAATAACTTGATTCGCGTTTTTTTTTCGCGATGTTATTTCCATCCAAAGCTAGACCACATGTGAGGTTATTGAGTCAGTTCTAAAATAAACAATCAACACACACACACACACACACACATACGAGTTTGCTTGCAAATACGTATCGCGAAGCGCACATAGCTATAATGCTATCTCTCTTCGCCTAACGTTAATTTACTGCAAACCACGTCCTGCCGTTGTGAATGGGACTGGGGATGTTAGGAAACAGTCCGATGGGCAATGAATGCGAGCTTTGCTCTGGTTCTCCGTTTCGGCATATGGGAGTTTATGCCTATGAGGGTCTCTTTCTGTCTCTCTCTCTCTCTCTCTCTCTCTCTCTCTCTCTCTCTCTCTCT